GATTATATTAGATATAATATATCTTATAATAGATTATATTAGATATAATATAAATTGTATTATTCATTATAATTATTTCGTATTTCATACTTTTCATATCGTATTATTTGCTGAAGGATTGGTTATTTTAATTACTTTATATCTTTGTCCCCTTCCATTTTTTCCAGAATTTAAATCTGACGATAGAAGCAGGATGGAAAGTTGGCGTGGTGGGCAGAACCGGCGCGGGGAAATCGTCCTTGATATCGGCGCTCTTCCGATTATTCGTCGAAGGACTAGAGGGAGAGATCAGAATCGACGGGAAAGACACCAGCAAGTTAGGCCTGCACGAGTTACGCTCGCGGATATCAATCATCCCCCAGCAACCATTCTTGTTCTCTGAGTTACTGCGTTACAATTTGGATCCGTTTCGCAGTTACGACGACGCGCTACTGTGGGACAGCCTTCGACAAGTAGAATTGAACGATATTACGCTGGAACAGAAGGTGATGTCCGGTGGAAGTAATTTAAGCATTGGACAGAGACAGCTGATATGTCTGGCCAGAGCAATTTTGAAAAACAATCGGATACTAGTATTGGACGAGGCTACAGCCAATATCGATACGCAGTAATTCTAACATTAATTTTATTTTTAATTTAATATTGAATTAACATTTGAATTTAATATCACTTCGATATTGATAATTGTAATTGTAACACTGGAACTACCAACCAAAGTGGTCGAAACGATCAATTTATAATTTTTGTTGGATATTTTACAGACGTAATAACAAAGATTTTTAAATAATTTTAAAATGTATACTACATTGTACCATATATTGTATATTATAGTACTATAAAGTTTACTACTATATTGTATACCATATACAATATTGTACACTATTGTATATTGTATATTGCATGTATAGTACTATATTGTATACTGTATACTATAGTATTATACTATATATACTATAGTATTATATTGTATATTGTATATACAGTATACAATATTATATTGTATATTGTATATACAGTATACAATATTATATTGTATATTGTATACAGTATTGTACTGTACACTATTGTATATTATATATTGTACTGTACACTATTGTATATTATATATTGTACTGTACATTATACAGTATTGTATATTGTACTGTACACTATTGTATATTGTATATTATAGTACTATAGGTATTATAATGTTATGAAGTATTATAAGTATTATAAAGTATTATAAAGAGAAACTTTATAGTATAATGGAGTAGTAATATACTAGTATATTACTGTAATATATTAGTATAGTACACTAGTATATTACAATATATTGTATATATTCTATAGTACTCCATTGTACTATAAAGTTTCTCTGTTTTTATTTTTTATTTATTTATTTTTTTATTTTAACGCCTCTGATGGAAATGTTATGCTTTAATCACCGGTAGTTCCAGTGTTAATATTCAAAGAACGTTTTACTCTACGTTCACTATACATGATCCTTTCCAGCACGGACGATCTAATTCAGAAGACCATAAGAACGAGGTTCGCTGACTGCACTGTCATTACGATTGCTCATCGTCTGCACACTATTATCGATAGCGACAGGGTCATAGTGATGGACTTTGGTAGTATAGCGGTATGATACATGTTAAAATTAACTAGAGATATGACAAATATGTCGAGGAATTTACTTGAGCGAATTTGGAAAAGAACTCTACTGGAACTTTGAATATTTGCCTGTTTTTATATACAAAAATGTAAATGTGGGCTTTGTAAAAATCACTGCCTGTTAAAATAGTTAAAATCCGCAATTTTTTCATTATATACAAAAAAAATAACATTTGAGAGAAACGATTTTTAAAACATGTTTGAACTTCAATTTATTTGAAATTAATAAATCAATTTTTTTTTTATATTTTGATGTTGTATTAAAGAAAATAGGGGAGGAAGAAACTTTTGATTCACCTATTATACTGCGTGTTCGAATTCAACTGTTTCAGTGACATTAAAATTTGGAAATATAGAAACAGGACGAATTTATACGCATTACAACTCAATATACGTATTTTTTACGAATGAATGTCATACTAAGAGTGATTCATGTAACTTAAACACCTTCATGCGTCTAATGAGAAATTGTTTAATACAAAAGTTGTATAATATTTTCAAAAGGGGCAAAATTAGGTTTAGAATCAATGTGTCTTAATATTTTTTTTTACTTGGAATTCTTTCTATTTATGATGAAAAAAATATATGGTCCAAAACAATGAACCTAACCTAAACCATACTATATTATCATAGCCATATAATTTTTGCATTAAACTATTATACTATTGCACTAACTGTTATACCTAACCTAAACCATACTATTATATAACTTTTGTATTAAATAATTTTTCATTGGACGCACAAATTGAAAGTCATTTCGGGTATGCATGTCGGGTACGCGAATCACCTTGTATATATGCATTATATCTATTGAAACAGGAATTTGGTTGTCCTTATGAGCTGTTGCGCGACAAGCCTCAGGGGATTTTCTCGCAAATGGTGAACAACACAGGAGTGTCGATGGCGCAGTCTCTTCGCAATCAAGCACAGCTAGCTTACGCGAAGAACACCAGGGAGATAAGTCTGGACACTTCGAGAACACCGTCCATGGGAAGCGACTCGACGGACACAGTCATGCAGAGCTCCCTCTAGAAGTTTCCTAAATTAGAAGTGAACGAAAAGCACGATGGGGCAAAGGAGGAAGGACCGTTCGCAATTTTTCGTATTTATTTAAAATTGAAAGTATCAATACAAATGTGTGCTGAAAACAAAACGAAAGAAACTCTCTTTCTCTTCCCTTCGGATCTGTTTCCCCCTCGTCATCTCCATTTATTCACCGTTACATTAGTCTGTAATTAGTCGAATAATTACATCGAGAAAATCAACCGCAAAACACACGAATTTGTCGAAATCAAAACGATGCAAAAGGAACTTTACAATTCTCTCTCTCTTTCGTCGTATCTCCTCTTGCATTTTTTATGTTTTTTTTTCTTTTTTCTCTCTCGAGATAACAGCAAAAAAGTAGAACGTTGGAAGTGTTTGCAAATTAATCGACGAAAGACAGGAACGGAATGCTTTCTCTCTTAGAAGACTCAGTTAACTCGTATTGGTTTTGGCAACTAGTTCTACTAGATTAGATTGTAGTGTACTGGAATAATCGTTAATGTCTCTTTTTACTCCTAGATGAGATTATGCGCGACTTCCTTGTCATCCTTATGTTTGTAAAAGGCAATATGTTCTATACTCTATCCTTTAGACCCTTTAATACAATAGATCAATTTTCGTTTTTTTTGTTTCTCGTCTTCTACAAATTTTAAACGAATGGGTACAAGTCTTAAATGATAACACACTCGCGCGCACACACACAATATATTATATATATATGTATATATAATATTCGGATTTTCTTCCTTCTCTTAAGTAAATTCGTTACTAAAGTAGAGCCTAAGTATAAGTATACTCTTCTCCCTCTCTTCCTCTCTCTCTCTCTCTCTCTCTCTCTCTCTCTCTCATACACACACACTCACTCTTCATAAAATGTATTTCTCTCAAAACTCTAAATTTCGTGTGTAACTGGATTAGAATAGTTTGAGGAGGGAGAGACGACTCGAGTCGAGCTCCCCCATAAAAGTTATCTTTCTAATAAACGCTACTTATGTTGAGCTACATGGTCTGCTAAAGCTAGTATCATTCGGATATCTAAATAAGCATGTAAAATTAACCTTGTAACTAACATATCGTTGAAAATTACATACTTATTTGGAATAACAAAGTAGGTCATAGATATCAACCAAATTTCAAATTTAACAATTCCCAGTCAACTGAATTATGAATTTACAATTTAACAATTTCCAGCCAATTAAATTGCAAATTTGCATAATTTTTCAAAGAAATTGGAAAATTTTTGAATGCCCTGTTTTTGGTTTTTCCTTCCTTCTTATACCTAAAACAAAACGAGCGAAATTATTTTATTGTTCATCATATTCAGATATCAGAATTGAAAGATGGTTTTAAGCAGACCATGGTATGTACATTCAGTTGTTATAGATTATTACATAGATGGAAGTGCGTCTTTTATTTTTTTTTCTTTTTCTTTTTTTTTTCTCTTTTTTTCGGTGATTGAATCCATCTCAGTTCCGAAATTCGTTGCGAATCTTCAGAAGAAAGTATTATCGACTAGCCTTCAAATTTCTTTGAATTTATATAAGAAGATACTATATATAATTTTAGTATTATAAGTAACTTCATCATTGTAAAACGATCTCGTAAAAATCTCTCGACCTTTGAACACTGTGATTGTTTTGATCAATAAGAAAGAAAAACAAACAAAAAAAAAAAAAAAAGAAAAAAGGAAAGAACGAGATGAATCTTACAAAGAATTCACGTACAGTGATACAGATCCCAAGTGTTAGATAGTCCACTTCTAACCTTTATGTATGTTCTCTAAATACAAACGCTAGATACATAATACATTAATCGTTATAACTCTCGAATAGCACTTATCATTACTTATCATTTCTTGCTCTTTTTCTTTTTCCTTTTTTTTTCATTTTTTCTTCTTTTTCCTTTCTACTTTAATTTGCATGTCTCTCTTGCAATTTTACTTTCAGCCCTCCATATATAAGTGGTACTTAATCATATCCTCTTACGCAATTGTAATCGTAATCTATTATCATAGTTTTAGAATTAAAAACTATGTTTGATTTCATTTTGTTTCTTTGAATCGTAACCTCGTATCAGATTCAATTATTCCGGCTTGAAAAACACACACCGATCGATCGGATTTCGTTCGTTTCGCGATCGATCGTTTCAAAACAACCGGAGTAGGCGAGTATCTCCCCTCCCCCAACCCCTCTCTTCCTTCGTTCAAATAATACGTATCAGTTGTTCAGTTGTAACAGCAATTATATTTCAATAACAACATTTTAACATTATCTCGTGTGCTTTTGTAATCGTAAAATTATAGTATCAGTATCTCCCAACACTTTGTGTCACAGCTATGTTTTAACTTTACTTTGTAAGTGCATCTATAAACGGTAGTACTAAATATTGTATAACAGCGACTTTTACGAATAATCCTTTTTTTTTCTTTTTTTTCTTTTTTTTTTTTTTTAGAATGTGTCTGCAGAAATATCCTCTAGTCCCTTTTTTTCTATTCTTCTATTATACTTTATTTACTTTGTTCGACTGGTTTCTTTTTTTTTTCAATCTTGTTCTCGGTTAATAAGAATATAGTTCACTAACTTTTGTATACGTAGTACGCGTACGAAAATTATCAGTTAGTTGACTTTCAAAGGAATCGTGAATCGTAAACGAATAATCGTCAAACACGCAACGAGAGATAATACAGGGTGGGACAAAAGTTTCTTCCCGTCTATTCTTTTTTTTTTTTTTATAAATAAAACATCGAAATATAAGAAAAAGCCAATTTTATTAATTTTAAATCGAATTCAAGTTCAAACATGATTTTTTTTTTCATCATTTTTTTTTAAAATTACTTCTTTAAAATACGGATTTATTTTAGTAGGAAGTGATTTTCGGCCCATCCTATACAACGAAAGATGGCGACTTTTTTAAAACATTGTTTTACGGTTAAATTTTTTTTTTTTTATTGAAATTGCAAAGATTGAAAATTAATTAATTAATATATAGAGAAACGACGGAAAGTTTTCTTTCTTTTTTCTTTTTTTGATCAAAATTGCAAATAAAGATTGAAAATTAATCAATTAATATAGAGAAACGAAGAAAACACTTATATTGTACCGTAAACTATAGCTAATTCTCTTTATTTTCTTCGTTTTTCTCACAATCTCTTGTGCGCTGGAACTTCACCTACAATTGTTCCCTTATAAGTATAGTACTTTTATAGTGTATCTTGTATTTAGCAAATGAAAAATAAGATATTAACGACGATATCGACAACTTTTGTTCAGCAAATTCAATAAGCTTTGCGAGTATTTCTATTTTCTACATCTCTCTCTCTCTCTCTTTTTTCTTTTTTTAAATTTCCAATGACAATTCGTTTAAAATATATATAATTAAACATCTGAGCAAAAGTCATAAAAATATGTTTAAAAATCTCAGGAGAAATACAAGTATTGAACACGTTAAAATCAACTCTTTGGCATCGTCGATAGATGTAACTATGATTATGTAATTAATTTCGATCTTCTCGTCTTTTTTTTTCTTTTTTTTTTTTTTTTTCTTTTAAATTGAACCTGCTTCCCCTACGTTGAAATATAAAAAAGTTATCCTCCTCTGCGTTCAGAATACTTCTATTATTTCTTCTTTTTTTCTTTTCTATTGCTGCTAAAAATGTAGTATATCAGCTAATCGAAATTAAAATATCTTTTTTTTTTTCTTTTTGGCAGTTACAATATCTTTTGAGCAATACGTATGATATCTTTTAAATTATAGATTTATTCCTGTATATTATATTAATTGCATTTACTATCTCTCTTTCTCTCGCTTTCTCTCTCTCTCTCTCTCTCGCTCTCTCTTTCTCTCTGGTTTATAAAACATCGTGTATCAGTGAATGAAGTGTCATAACATAACCTAGCTCTTTGGCTCTTTTGGTATTTCAATTCAAATCAGCCTCTTCTAGCTCTTGCAAAAAGATCAGTTGCCGCAACTTGACTTGAGTATTACCATTCACTTTTCACGTTGTCGTACGGCCATATTGCACGAATGAGAACACCGATATTGCTATATCACTCTAACTGCCCATTACAACGCGATATAATTCACCGTATCGTTTAAAATTGAAATGGAGCTCCCTTGAAAGAAACGGAGATCACGGCAGTATGGTTTCGCGTCTCTCCCTATGGTGTCGCGCTGTTCGATCCTGGCAAGATCAGTTTTTATATCTATAAGTTGTTTTACGCAACATCTAAAAACGTAGAAATATGCGAACAAACGAGTACATATTAATAACAGTTAGAATTAAGCAACAGTCGGAAGTTTAACATATTTATCGAGTAAATGAGTTATAAAATAAAAACGTAACTCGAAAATAAAAAAAAAGAACGCTGTTTCGAAAAAGAACGAGATACTTGGACATTTGGTTCACGATGCCTGGGGATAGCGTTAAGTTAATGGACGGTAAAGCACAGAGAAATATTGCTAGACGGTTGTCTCCCGGTCCACGTGGATATACTCCACGAAACCGGGCTGCTGCTGTCAGGATGCTGCCCCCAGCAGTGTCTCCTCAGTTGGCGCTCGCCTCGGCCTATTGCTTTTCTTTGTACCCTTGTAATGAAGTCTTTTTGTATGCGCTTTTGACCTGTAAAACGAAATTAATCTGTAATTGAAGATTAATACATAATTACACTGCGAGGAGAATTAATAATTATACTTGAAGGCTATAATTAGTCTGAATTAGTCATTAGCATTAATAATTTAGACTGTGAATACTCGTGCAAATTCACGTTCTCGATATAACTGACATGAAGTGAAATCTAAATAGATATTAATCAAATTGTTCAACTCCTTACTTTCTGTAAGCTTCTCAGTTTCGTCGTTGTAAAATGTACATAATGTAATGAAGGAAAAGAGAATTTATTTCTCTAGATTCATTAGCCAGAAGGAGAAGGTATAAATGATAGTAAATTCTAACACAAGAAATAAAATTAAAATAAAATTAAAATAAAATTAAAATTCAGAAATATTATACAACGTGTGCAACATATTCTATTTTAATATATTTGTGAATATACAGGATGCTCCATTTTAATCTATAAATGAAATTATTCCTCTCGAATGAGTCTTTTTCTATTTTGAGAGGGCAGTAATTTGTTTTAGACTTGGTTTGTCGCTAGATAAACGTGTAAGAGAATACTAGTGAAGGTCACTACTATTTTTTCAAATATATTTGTGTAATTTTCCTTTGCATTAGTCAATGTAGCAGGTCATTCTCTACAAAAAAAAGTATTAACCTATTAGTTTAGGAGATATATAAATTTATATATAAAAGACAAGAACAGTATGAATACAAGAATACTGCTCTTGTCCTTTCTCCTCTTTCATTAATCCCCAAGTTAAAATATCTCCTAAAATAATAAAGCTTTTCGATACACATATGTTAATTTACGCATAGGTTAGTTACACTTTTTTACAGAAAATGACCTGCTGCATCGACTGATTACATAATTACATAATTATACTTGGAAAAAATAGTAATGACCTTCATATCTCCTATATGCCTCTATCTAAAGCAAGTATACAATTATATACATGCTTTTATGCAAAACCAAGTGTACCAAATTACTGCCCTCTCAAAATAGAAAATAATGCATTCGAGACATTCTTTAAATAGTTTAACAGGAGATAATTGAATTTAAGATGCATACGTTGATATATTTGATCTTACAAATATATCAATGTATCTTTACTTCATGGACGGAATTGATCAATGTGATTTTCTGAAGGACTTGATTAATCTCTCCCTCATCCTGTCCCGTGATACCTGCTAATCAGCACCACGAAGAAGCACGCAAAGGCAGCGATAATCCCAGCGACACCAGCTAGTACCAGCCACATTTCCGAAGGCAGTAACCCAAGTAACTTCGCCCCGTTGCCGCAATTCGCCTCGTCGTGCCCGGACGGGCAGTGAGCCCTCCCGTCGCACCAAAGGCTCGCGGCAATGCAAGCGCTCAGTTCAGGGCATTTGTGGGGGCAGTCGCCGTGCGTCGACGTCTCGTTCTCCACGCCTCTCTCCGGTAGACGCAACTGCCTGCGGAGCGCAGCTCTGCTCTTCGAGATCTCCAGCCACGAGGCAGCAGCCTGGCCAGACTCCCTCGCGATGAAGTCCAGTAAAAGCGCCGGCGGTCGCGGCGGACCTGGCCATTTACCCTCGTCGGTGCCACCCAGCCACTCCTCGGAAAACACGTGAACGGTGAACTCTCGCGCGCCTGGCTCGGCGGGGCACACTACTTTCAAAAGCTTTGGCGGCCAACCGGAGTAAAGGAGGATCCTGTTGGTCGTTGGACACTTGCTCTGTTCGCTCATTTCTGTTATCGGGGTGGGCTCCAAGGGAAGGAACCAGCCCCAGGTTAAAACGAAAAGCGATCGGTTCTCGCGCGCCTCCACCAGCCATGGAAGTCCCTCGCAATAAATGTCTGGTCTCGACAACGGCGGAGCGACGAACCGTAATTCGCCACCTGTATGAAAAAAAGAAAAAGAGATCATTAATAACAACTTTGAAGGATCTGCGACTGGTACAAAATATCAGTACAAAACCGTCTGCGACTGGTACAAAATATCAGTACACTTGAGATTTTAAGATCTAATATAGTGAAATAAATTGTATTTATACAAACGTGGTCTGTTTAAGCGAGAGCAACTAAATATTTTTTCTGAACTGTGACGATGGAAAAACGTGAACCATATTATGAAATAATTGGTAGAAATATTTTTTCTCCAGTCATTTTTTTAGAAGTTTTCAAAGCCATTAGACATTTTTTATCATACAACTATGCTACTATAATTCATACAACTACACATATAACTATTTGTATATGTATTGTTAAATAGAAATACATATAGTTACATGTATTAAATATTAAATAGAAATACACATAATTACATATATATTTCTATTTAACAGTACATGTAACTAATAACAATATATGCATTAACATGTATTTAATAATATATATAAGTTATAACTATTTTAATGTATGTAAAGTAATTATATAATACATACAACTACTTTACATATAGTTACATATACATTTCTAGTTAACAATACATAGTTATATGAAATAAGTTGTACAAATTATAATAGTATAACTGTATGAAAAAAAAAAATTCTAATGACCTGGAAAACAATACTTTTACCAGTTATATTTGCCTTTCAATACTATTCATGTTAGGCGAAGAATAATTTTTGCATCGTCACGGATACAATAATATACTCTTTTTCTATGCTTTAAATACGCTTAAATGTAATAGCATTCTAAATCAATTTCTCTAATTTAGTCACGAGGATATGGTTTTGTACAGGTCGAGCAGCGAGATGATAGTAACCTTCACCGCGTACTCTCTGCTTTCTGGGGCACTCGCGCGCCCGGACGAGCTCGAAGCTGGCGTAGAAAAAGAGAGTCTCGAAGTCCTCGTGGGGAGTTTGCTGGTCGACGAGGAACGTGATCTCCAACGCCGTGCTCGAGGAGATGTGCGTCAATGGAAGATGCGACGTGTTATCACATAAACAGGCTCTCGGAAGCTTGACGTCCCGCCAGGGCGCCTCGTACAAAACTAAACGAGCTTCTCGGGAGCCCACTTCTTGAACACAACGTGGTCGGCCGGTGTGGGGATCCGGCTCGCTTGTGCACACCGTCGACTCGCCCAGGCTGACGTTGTGCAACGTCAGCCGCACCCTCTCGTCCGCGTTAGCCTCGATACGGTATCTACAGTCCAATTTTTGCGAGCCGCCCCTACCGAACAGGCGTACGTCGCGCGGCGAGGTCACCTCGCCGCTTCGGACTTTGCGCCACACTCTGCTGCAAGCTCCGTCACCCCAGGGCTCGCCGACTTGGCTGGTCGATATGAACTCGTACTGTGCCTGCGTGCGAATAGAAAATAGATCGGTCAATTTTTTTCTTTTTTTACTCTGCGAAATACTTAGCATTCTTTCGACTGGTGTAAAAATTAGAGTACACAGAGTAATAACCACTAGGTACGTTGATACAATTATCTTAACCTATTCGTGCGGAATAACGACTGAGGCTTGCGGTGTATTTCTGTGGCAACAATATGCATTAACGTGTGCAAGTTAATAATAGTCGGGATAACGCGACTGTTGTATTGCGATTGATTTCGAATAATAATTATTCTATATAATTACGAAACTGACTTGCAATTGGCTCTTGATTCGAAGAGTAAGAACAAATAATCAGAAGAAGAAACTTGTTTTAAAGAAACATGGCGTGATCGTCGTCGAATCGAGACCAATAACGCGACGCACAACGCGTCTTCTCAGCGAGAAAGATTTGAAAACAATGTATCTTTTCGTAATGCAAAAATCAAGATTCCAATTTATCTGTAACTTATATATATATATATATATATAAACATATAAATATAAACATGTATATATACACGTATATATACAAATAAATACACAAACATATTACACATTATATATTACATATATTACATATATTATATATATTATATATCATATATATTATATATCACAATATATTATATTATATATCATATATTATATATTATATCACATAATATATTATATTATATATTACATATATTATATATATCTTACATATATTACATATATATTATATATATAATCATATATACAAACATATATATATATATATAAACAAATGTATAAGGAAATATATTAACATTTATTTGGAAAAACTTATAACAAATACGGTTTTCTCAATATATTGTTTAAACAAATGATTTTTTCGCAAAACGGTGTACACCATTAAATTCGCCGTTAAAAAACGATAATTTCATCAATTTACCCCTAAATGCTATATCTTGAATAATTTCCGAGATATTTAACAAAGTATATCCCAACTTTGAAAGTAGTTTTTCATCCCTTCGACATTGACAATTGTCGAAAAAAATACGTGTCAGATATTTTCTTTCGAGAACGTATTTAAGCCAAATTTCGTGAAAACCAATGACTGTAACTTCGGTGCGTTCCCTCGTAAGAATGAAAAAAAAATCGTCAAAAAACATTGATACGTGTCAACTATTTCTCCTGAATCTCTCGAGAATCTCGTGAGATCGGTGTGGTCAAAGCTTACGTTAAAGTTAACGGTGTGAAGCGCCGTGCCCAGCAACGTTTCCATCCGCAACGTCAGAGACGGCGTAACGGTAATGTAGCTCTCGTCCTGCGTGCACGGCCTGGTGCTTCTGGTGACGTTCCTGAGGGCCGCGTGTGCACAGAGCTTGGGCGTGTCGTCGCAGAGCGTGGCCATCGGGAGACCGGTGGCTGGCGTGCCGTCCCAGAATATCAGCTTGATCGCGCACGGCACGTCGGACTGGGAACTGGCGTTGCTCTCGACGCTGCCGGTCAGGTCCCGCTGCGAGTACGAGGAGAAGTAGATCCACACACGGTCGCCGGCTGATCCTTTGATGTTCCAGGTGCAGCTGGAATTGGGCGGCAGCGCGTGCAGCGGTGCTCTCAGCACGCCGCTACGTTTGTTGGTACCGTTCACAAAGAAGTGACAGCCCTGGGGCCCCTTTGCGTACTCGAGGCCGTCCGAGTCTACATAAACCACCTGTATCTCGAGCTCGAGCCTGAGGGCGGAGGCGCCGAGGGGGATGGCGATCGGCGAACTTCGGAACTCCACCTGCATCGTCGGTCCCCTGGCAGTGATTCTGGGCAGTGGGCCGCCGCAGTAGACCAACAGAATGAGATCCTCGGGCCTGACGCCATCTCGAAAGATGAGATGGTCCTTCTCCGGTGGGCAGTCCTGCCACACGCTCAGAGTGCTGTTGGCAGTAGTGACGCCGACCGGGCCGCCTGGCGTCGACTTCACCGAGATCATCGCGTGTTTGCAGGTGGGCACCTCCTTCTGCCTTATGGTTATCGAGCAGCTGGCGTTCCTCGGGTACTCGCCGGGATAGTTGGGGCTCTGCAGCCTACACTGTTTCAGGTGGCACTCGTAGAAGTTCCTCGAGCAGTAAGTGCCCGGCACGGGGGAGCCCCTCTCGATCGGAAGCTCGGGCTTGCCCAGTCGGGCCACTGCCTCGTTACGCGCCACGAACCTGTACCTCAGACGAAACTCGAACGGTATGCTAGACGGCGCGTGAAACAGCCGTATGGATGCGGTGACGGTGCTGGTCTCGCTGTAGTAAGACGCCTTCCCCTCGCCGACGCCGCACCACGAGCCACCGGTAAAGTGTCTGCCGAGCTCTGCCAGTTGCAACGATCCTTCGGGGCAGCTAGTGACGAAGCTGTCGGTGTTCGGGTCCACTCTGCCAACGCTGAACGCGTCCCACAACAGTTGCACGAGTTCACCGTACCCCTGGCCAGCAGCGGTGAACGTTAAATGACAAAGGAATGGCAGCCGTTCCTCGCTCGGTCTCGGAAGATCCAATTTGTACGTGCGTCCTTCCCGTCCGTGATACGTGCGATTACAGGGTGTGCACATCGTCGGCTCGTCACTGTTATCCCCGCAATCATCTCGTCCGTTGCAGTACGCGTCAATCGGCACACAATGCCCATCACGGCAAGTTAACTCGGCCAGACCGCAATCGCCAGCTGCCACGCGGTCTGTCCAACCGAACAGAAGTATGAACGGAACTAGAGCAGTTACACGAAGTCGCTTGTGACCACCTCCGGCATCAGCTATCTCCTGAGGGAAACAAATGAAAAAGAACATTCGTTCAGAGTTTTTCACTCTGTCTAGGGTGTTTTAGATTACAACTGAATTAAAATCAGAATGATTAATTCATAATTTTTGTTAGATACATTATAGATGTGAAACAGTGTATGTTTAGATATTTAAATGATTTTTTATAAAATACATAAATAAAAGCTTGTCTGTTCTATTGTATTTTACAGTTTTTCTATTTTTTTTTCCACTTTAATATCTCTGATGAAAATTTTATGTTTTAGTCCTTGGTGGTTCTAGTATTAAGAAACTTTTAACCTCTTAGCTATGGTTTTTAACACTAAAACAACCAAAATAGTCAAAATGACCATTTGAATATTTTTTTACATTTTATAGATACAAAACAGTGTATTCTTGGGGACATGATTCTTAACAAAATATTTAAATAAAAACTAGTATTCTATTAAAAAGATTTTCTGTTTCCTCTACTTTAACGTCTCTGATGGAAATTTTATGTTTTAGTCGTCGGTAGTTCTAGCATTAAAAGTGTGCATCTTCTATATTGTGTCGCGATGACGATGCTTGTCAAATACAGGGTACGTGCAGCTGCTGTAATAAAATTGAATTAAATTATAAGAATTTGAAATATCAATAATTAAGATAATAATAATTATAAATTTTGTCACGCAATATAACGCACACGAGCGCGGTCGTAGCAAGAAAATATTTAGAAATGATAAAAGTAAAAAGAACTAGTCAAGTCTAGTCTCAAAATATTCTAAAATTTACAAATATGTTTTATTTTCCACAAAAAATTTAATTTAAGCAACAAATTATCGTATTATACTCGTCAATCAAAACTAAAAGGTTAACAACTAACTAGATTGGATTTTATATTTATCATCTATCGTTTCACGAGTTTTTTTTCTGACACGTTCAAATCCGGCGCGCTTTTCCATATTTTCTGCACAACGCGTGCTTACAAAACATGCAAAATAACACAATTTTTTTTAAATTAGTAGGATATCATTATTTAATCTCCTCCCGTAACTTTGTTATTTAGGTTCGGTTTCCACAGCTTAAATTGTCCCTTTAAAAATACCAAATTGGTAAAAATGTACTTTTAAACGTGTCATCTATCGTTTCACGAATTTTTTTTGTGACACTTTCAAACTCGGCGCGCTTTTTCATATTCTGCACGAGAAGATAACGCGTGCTTACAAAACATGACAAACACAATTTTTTAAATTAGAAGGATATCGTTATTTAACCTCCTAAAATAACTTTGTATTTGAGTTCAGTTTCCACAGTTAAAGCGTGCCTTTGAAGGCACCAAATTGGTACTTTTAAAAATGTACTTTTAAACATGTGTATGAAACACCGATGATGGAACGTGTTCGACAAAATCGTTCGCCTCTGAATCGACGAATGAATACACACGAGTTCATCGAGAATTGAGCTTAAATTTGCTCTAGAACGTCCAGCGTTGCAGAAAATCTGAAACGATCGACATTGTTAATTTTGAAGTATCAACGTACGAAATGAGAAAATAATATGCTTTCCAATAATATGCTTTTTTTCTAGAGCCTGTTCGTGACACGATCCGATGAATTGCACAGTTCTCCACTCTTTACGGAAGTAAATTTGATTTGAAGAATCGTTCAACCTTCACTTCGAGAGATGTTAACAATCAATTCTCAATCACATTTATAGAACACGGTGTCGCGTGAAACGGGGAAACAGAGAGAAGAGCCATTTACGAAAATAGGTGAACAGGTTAAATCAAACACTTCAGACTGCACTGTGCACAAAGGCCGAAAGTATACCGGTAAACAATCCATTTCAATCCTCGAGATAGTACACGATTGCTTCTCTTATCCCTCATATATTTGCACACGATATCACAAAGATGCACTTCACACGTGAAATCTTTTCATCTGGATCGACTTATCTTCGCGATTGCCGTTTTCGTTTTTTCTTTCCTTTTCCTTTTCTGTTTCAAACGTGTACGTGCGAAGCTAATGAAAAGCAGACACCGTTCCTGCATTAAGCGACGAGTTCTATCACGAGCAGCTTCATTGAAATGAATCGTGCAGTTGGTATCTGTATCCTTTTAAGAGATAAAAATCTGGTTTTCGATGTGCCCTTTGCTTTCGTGAACTCGTCTGTATCTGAAATCATTTTCTATCTTGCAAGACGTGTAATTTACAATATCTTTTCAGCCGATGCCCTCGATATCAAAACACGCGTGAATTAAGATACATTTTGCGTTTAATGTTGATAAATTTAAAGCTCGATGATGCCTATGGTTAATCTCAAATATCACGAATTATGGATAAAATAATACTTGGACTGCAGATGTTTATACATTGACGCGCGATAAAAAACAATGTATAGGTAGAATATAGAACGATAGCAATATAATATTGTTATGTATAAAATACTCGAGATAATTATCGCGATGTTTAATGGAAATTTATTTCCCGATTTTTTTCACTCGTGAAAGTACGAAATTGCATAAATTTGCCGCACAGTCTGTCACTAAATGAAAGTCTTATTTATTATTTTTGACAAATAATTTTAATAAAAAAGAAAAAAAGAAAGAAAACTGATGATATCAACGTTTTTGCAAGGATCCTGCAACGAGGGAAAACGGATGCGTTTCGAGGGAAACGTCCTCCGACTTAATAATAACATGCGAAACCATTTACCATAATCGTCTGTCAGTGAAACGAACATCACAACAGCAAGCCTGGAATCGATGACACCGAATCGAAGTTCTACACTCGGGGGATCATGTGCCCGGAAACTGGTTCAAGCACGTCCAAACCGTGATCCCGGACGGCGACGACAGCCGACATAATTCCAACAACGAACACTGTTAATTAATCAACATCACCACCGAAATCGACCTCGTACCTGGCTCGCTGAATACTATAGTTTCGCGAGTCTCGCGTAAGAATGAAAATTCGGTCACGCGAGGTATTCCTTATCTTTCCTTATCCTTTCTCGTTTCTCCGTCCCGGAGCGTGTATCGCGCACTTAGAGGAGAGACGACACGACGATCGTGTCGTATGTCACAACAGAGAATGAGAGAGAGAGCTCGCACGAGAGAGGGTTAACGTTTATACCGAGAGGCGAAAAGTCCAGTGACCGAATGCAGCTCTACACCGTGAAATGGTTGATGCGCAACTGCACAGTAAAGAGAAAAGCCCGGAGGGCAGCTTTGCTGCAGGGCATACCGGGGTAAGGGTGATGGAACGAAACGGGGCTGAGCTCAGGGGCCTGGCGCCTCAATGCATCGATCGCCCCGTTCGGTCCTTTTCTCTCCGTTTCGACGCCCTAAACCACCGCTACGTATCTACCGCACTGACGTAACTACCGATCTCAATACCCGCTCACGCCTGGCCTCCCATTTCCTCCTTTTTTATGCGTTTCATCCAATAACGTATCACGTGTAAAATTTTTATCGAACACCTAATAATAATTTCGCGATAAAACGAAAGCAAACGTTGCTCGTTTCGTTCGCAATCATTCAGTTATTCGGATCGTTTAAAATTCACCGGTTACCGTAGCCGATCCCAAACGTGTTTAGTCCCCTCTCTTTGCACTTGCACGTAACTCAAAATGAAAGTTACACTTCAGTAGATATCGAAGTATAAACTAGTTCGACTCGAGTATTCCAGAAATTTTGCTGGTCCACGGCATTTTTCAGCATTTCGAAATGTGAAAGTGAAAAAACACGGAATAAATAATAAATTTAAAAAAAAAAAAAAACACGGAAAATTAATAAATTGACAAGTTCGTAGATTCCAGTTTTCTCCTTTTATTATAATTCAGAGAATTCTTTTTTTTTTCAAACTTTCGAGAGAAAAGAACGACGAGTGTCAACAATGATTCATCTATCGATTCGATATTCGATGCAACGCGACTGAAATCCTATTCACGTATTTTGCGTTTTTTTTTTTTTTCTTCTTTCGAACGGGACGTAAACTTCGTACCCTGTAACCTACTTGTAGTTTGAAGGTTAAACGAGGGTAATAACGTCACGTCGTACCCTCAATACGCCTCGGCATGCGGATTAACCTCGTCGAGCTTCGAAGATCGACGAGGAAAATACGAGCTACAACCCTGAGCGCTATTGACGACGAATTGTAGGTCGAAAGGGATGCACACACAGGCAGGAGAAGCAATAGTGGAGGAAAGAAATGAGCTCACGAAATGCTCGCGGAAAGGAGAACGATAATGCGTTGTAAACCTATATATTGCTCTGCGTAAAATTTCAACGAATTGTGAAATTTTGTTCCATTTCTTTCGGAAATTTATTTGATACAACGTTTCTCATTGCTGCTGCAACTATATGCATTGTACATACAATGAAAATATTTTTAAATATGACAAAAAGAACTGACACGTTCTCCTTTTTTTTTTCCTTTTTTGCAGATAAAATGTCGCGCACTTTAAAAATTTAAAAACCAGTTGTCGTACGTAATTCTTTTATTCTTCGTAAAATTAATGATTAATTAATTATTCAAAGGTCCGTCTCCGCGCGATCCAAGCGTACAAATTGACCATTATCTATTTTTAGTCGAAGAATTAGTTGAGACAGTTCTGTGCACATACAGTATTTATAATGCTAAAATAGGTCGCCGAGGTGTTTTCTATTTTTTACTTCGCTGGATATCAGAAGATTCAATTTTAGCTTTTTTTTTCTCGCGCTAAACTGCGACAAACATGAACTAAATAAATTATTGCACGACGCCTTGTCGTACTAACAAGCTAATTGAAAGTATAAAAAAAATTCTTAGAATGTTTTCAATATTATTGTGACAAAAGTGTACTATATTTCTTAACATTGTAGGTTCGTTTCAAGCATGTAGCATACACATACACATTCGACATATATATACATTTAGTCTTAGAAAATCAATCGGGCATACAGTAACTTTAAATTAATAAAAAATCTTCGTGTTATAGTTTCTTTAAACGCGAAGGAACGATAAGCACATAAAGTAAAAATTTACATGGCCAAAACAATTTGGTAATTTAAATATCGTTCAATCAGAAATAAACTACTTTTCCTTTTAACCTAAATAATTCTCGCTTACGATCTTCTATCATCATAATATGTACGCAGTGTTTTCTTTTTTTCTTTTTTACAAATGATTTGATCATTCGTCATTACGAAAAGTAGGTTAAATTTACAAAAACGGAATGCAAATTCGTAATGATTCGACAATAAATTA